ACAGATGCTGCCAGACCTCTGAGCTTTTCCAGCAACTTTGTTTTTGTTCCACACTGTGTTATCTCTGACTCCAGCATCGGCAGTTCTTACTATTTCTCACTTAAAAGAGTGCAGTCCTCTGTTATTAACTGTGCTGATAACAAGCATCACATTAACCTGTCTTTCAGAACTTACCTGAGTACGGTCAATGTTTACACCCAGGCTGAAAACAGACTGAACAGTGACTTATAGTGACATGGTTAGAATTGATGCACTTTCTTCATAAGAATCTGTAAGAGTGGCAGGCTCTTGCAAATGAAGTTGGAATTAGCATCTTATCATTTCCACTCAAGGTGTCATTTTCGGGAATGGCACTTTATAAATAAGATGATTATTTCAGTTTTAATATTAATGAGAGTATCGCTTAGATTATTGACTCTCTCAGAGCCTCCACAAAACAGCATTACGACCTCTCAATCGCAATATTGTTTACAACGCTCAACCTTTTGGACAGGGACGCAGCAATTAAGATAGTTTATTTTTCACTGAATACTCACCGTTTTGGTTATCGAGAAGCCTCTTCCATCGGGAACCCCCACAGGTATAAATGACGGCTCGGATGAATTCGCGACCGCACAGCTTGATTCCCAATTCCCCACTTCTCAAAGACTGGGACAAGACAGAAACCGGAAAGGAGGTCAGCAACAGGTTGATGACCAGAACACACACCAGGCACTTCATCTCAGCTCACAAGCGTTCAGTCTGGGCTTCTCAAGAATCCTAGCTCTGAAGTGTGTTCCTTTCGCTGGTGCTTGAGACTGTTGGAGAAAGATGTCAATATTGTTGTGACTCTCTCCCTCTTGTCCCTACCTTCTACATGTCTGATCCCGCTGCCCTTTATATAGCTGTTTTTTGCTCCTTCCCACTGACTCACCGCCGTTTTTTCAAAGCATTTGTCCCTCCCTCTCTCTGATGACCTCGAAATATTCTTGCAAGATTGACAGATACCCTTTGGCTCGCTGTCACATTTAGAATTGAGGGACTGATTGGAAACCGCATCCCTCAACGATGCCGTTATCTTCTCCTGTTGATCAAACATTTTGACATCCTCCGAACCCGCGTTTTAATTTTCCAGTTTTCCTAATAGTTTAACTTTTCAATTGATCTCACTTTCTCCTGTGCCATTTCTATTTTTCCCCAACTTCCTCGACTCTGCAGCTCTCTCTGTCTTCTTGCGGTTTTCACCTTTCATTTTGTGTAGCTTCCACCAGCTCCCGAATTAAAATTTCTATTTTATCCCAATCGTTTCCCCCCTTGCTCTCTTATTTATTACATTTCGCATGTTAACTCATTTTTCAGAAATTACCCGAGTGCTTCCATTATTTCTACACAAACCTACACCTTATTCTCCATCCTGAATATGAATCTGTAAAAGTCACAAACCTGAGCTTCCCAATAGGGAGTTTACAATGGTGATGCTGTTGTGCTAGCCATGTTTTTAACCGTGTGAGTGTTGGTTACTGTTGATGATGACGCTTATTAATGTTTGATCCATTTATTGATATTATATTATTAATCTTTATTGGTCTTATTTGACACATTGTCTGTTCACCAGAACAGGAGGAATAAAAGTAGACCATTACACCTGGACCCTTCTCTTATCATTATCACAACATGGTTTCAAATAACTGCTGGTACAGTCCCAATTTAATCCTAGTGCACGCCTCTCTCCATAACCCGGTACCTATCCTCTGTTCAAATGTGCGGCACTTTTTCCCCTTATATTGTACCGTAGGTTTCTATCCTATCTCCTTGCACTCAGTGACAATTTTAAATTGACATCTCTGTTACTGGTTCCCCAATCAGTTCACTTTTGTTTAATACAGAAGTTCTTTATTTTAAAAAAGTTTCGGGTAAATCTTCTCTCGCACTTCTCTACTCCATTAGACGAAACCAACGTTGGTCTGCTCATAATTATCCGCATTCTTATTCTGGAAAATCTACATTGTGTATTCCCTGCGGTCTTATCCTCCTTTTTGTAAGAGGCATTATAGAACTCTACATTGTACTCTGTGGCGTATAAACAATGCTTGCATATATTTATTGTTATTTATGCATTTATTGTTGTGGTTAATGCTACTATTAATAAACTCCAATGTATTGCTGAGAAGCTCATTTTGTTTAAGCTTTATGTTTTGCTCTCATTACGTCAATTTGCAAGAGATACCAACGTAAAAGGAAAACAACATTTATTCTGTGTAAGTGCTCATGCATTGGCAAGTGAACTAAGATTGGGTGAATCATTGCCAAGTCGTCAGCACCAATTAATGATAACTGACAATTAAATGCCAAGCTTTGTTTAAATTTTAAACCAGGAAAGTTGACTCTGATGATCACGACTTAGCTCTGAGGAATGGTTTTCACCTATTTTGTTGAGTTGAAACAGGAACAGTGTGTACTTGTTCTATATGTCTAAAATAACAGGGTCTTGTGTATTCATACATTTACTATCCAGTATATACATATTTGCCACACTATATCTGACTGACGATTATAATTTGGTTGTCAGGTTAATTCTTTGCACAATCGGGATTATTTAGCAAATGCTATCCAACCAGTTATCACATCAAATGTTGAACAGTGTGCTGTGAATTTTGCAAGCGTGGGCTTATTGAGTATAGTCAGTACCATACTTGGTGCACACAGCTGAACGTATATGCTGTTTGATATGTTCCGTCAGTCTTTGGGATTGCTGGCTTTGGTTGCCAGCCTAGCCGATGACACTCATACTATATTAAACAAGAAGTTACATTAAATATGTTCCTTTGTCAGGGACAGGAAGGTGTGACTGTGCATGAGGCAGTTAAATGTGGTCTGAGTTTTCCTTTTGAGCAGGCTCAGCCAGTATCCTGGTCTAATAGGTTTGAGGGAAGCAGGCCATTCAGCCATCAAACTAACCCTCTGAAGAGCATTCCACCCAGACCCTGTAACCCTACATTTTCCCATGGCTAATCCACCAACCCTGCACACCCCTGAACAATTTAGCATGGTCAATCCACTTAACCTGCACATGTTTGGATTGTGGGAGAAAACCCACGCAGACACAGGAAGAACGTGCAAACTCCACACAGTCACCTGAGGCTGGCATCGAACCCGGGTTCCTGGCACTGTCAGGCAGCAGTGCTAACCACTGAGCCACCATGCTGCAAACCCCAATGTGGATGAATATGCAGATTGCAGGGATGACGAGTGAGCTGACTACAGTGGACCAATGCCCATAACTTTTCTGAACAATAGGCATACGGAGTAGATGGGTAAGAATCCGGTTGTTTTGGTCCACGTAGGTATCAACGACACAGTTAGGATTATTAAAGAGTTTCCGATGATGGATTACAAGTAATTCAGGCTTTAGGATGGGTTATATTTGAGTTGTGCTGGGATCGATGTGGTAGCAAGTCATGGGGCAGCACGATGGCTGAGTGCAGAGTGGGGTGAGCACGAGAGGGTGCAAAGACCGACAAGGCCCCACCAAGGTGGGGAAAATTCCTTATCCTGCATCACAGACTCCTTCCTGCCTCACCCCACCTCCTCCCAGACTCATCCCTCCCTCCTTCCCAGATTCCCTGCTCTTTTACTCCTCAGACTCCTTCTTCCGTCAGCTGCAGGTGATCCTGAAGGAAAGGCGCGCACAGCTGTGAGAGTGTCAGTGGGAGCCTGTTCGCGGATACAGTGCTGCTGAGCCTGGCACGTGCAGAAAGCTGTAACATCAGTACCACGTGGTCAGATGGATCCTGGTATGTTGCTGCGAGCTGCGCATGTGTAGATGCCCCTGCGCGCCATTGCAGGCTGCGGTGCGTCACAGCCCGAGTCTGCGCATGTGCGGGTTTGGCAATTTTTTTATTGTTTTGGGTTGTCCTTTCGGTATCCGCCTGTCAATCAGCCTCAAAGGAACAGATTATCAAGTCATTATCACTTTGTTCGTGGAAGTTTACTGTGAACAGGTTAGCAGCTTCATTTCTTAGGTACAACATTGATTGTGCTTCATAAAGTTTTAGTTGATGGTAAAATGATTGGGGATGAGCCAGTGTCCTGAAAGGTGCTGTATAAGTCTTTCTTTTGAGTCCTTCTCATTGAAGGAAGTTGGTATTGGTGCAGTCAGGCACATTTTCATTATATGGACTGTTCTGTATCACTCGTTCTTAGTGGAGAAATTTGCAAAGAAAACCACCTTTGGCCACAGTTTCAGCAGGAAGTGGTCAGCATGTAGCGTCGTTGAGATCCTGAGGGAAAAGGAGAGGGCGAATCCTGTTGCGTGGTTCTCTGAGCAGACTGTCAAAGACCTTTCCAACAAGCACCAAGATATTGCTTAGCTGGTGGCAAGTTGAGTACTACCTGTGAGATCCTTCATGTACACCCGGTTGGTCTGTGCAACTGCAGGCTGCCCTCAAAGCTGCTGAAAGTTGGGGGCAGTGGGGAGTTGAGACTGTCACACACCACCTGCTGGAATGTGCCTTTGCAAATAAAGTCTGGAGAAAGATGCTGTGGTTTTTGTCAAAGTTCATTCTGAGCCTCTCTGTGCTCTACGGTCTGTTCCCAGGACGCTGAGACAAATATTGACTGCACTTGGAGAACCATGAAATCGGTGAAAGATGGTCTTTGGTCTGTCCAAAGCTTGTTGGCCTTCCACAAAAAGGAGTTGAACTCAACCGAATGTTGTAGACTGGCACATTCCAAGGTCCAGGACTACATGCTAAGTGATGCACTAAAGCTTAGGGCGCTTGCTGCCAAAATGCAGTTGGGAAAGGCCACTGTCTGAGGTCTTCCTGCAGAAGTTAATTGGGGGTCTGTTCAGTTATTGGACCCTCCTTGTGCCTCAATGTGAGTAAATATAGAATTGGATGCATAAGAGTCGCCTTTGGTTTGTTAGAATAGAGTCAAAATCAAATGTTTGTTTGCTTATTTGATATGCTTTTGTACAGAACAGAACTGCATTAATGACAATGTATATATGCAAAAAATATTTTTTATGAATAAAGTATATTTTGGAAATTAAGAAAACTGGTTTTGACAGGCTTAGCCAGTATCCTGGTCTAATAGGTATGAGGGAAGAAGGCCATTTAGCCCATAAAGTCCACACCAACCCTCTGAAGAGCATCCACCCAAACCCACCCTATCCCTGTAACCCTGCATTTTCCTATGGCTAATCCACCTACCCTGCACATCCCTGGACAATTTAGCATGGTCAATCCACTTAACCTGCACATGTTTGGGTTGTGGGAGGAAACCAGGGCACCCGGAGGAAACGCACGCAGATACAGGGAGAACGTGCAAATTCCACACAGACAGCCACCCGAGGTTGGCATCGAACCTGGGTTCCTGGCAGTATCAGGCAAGGATACGTGAAGGTGGTTTTCCCAGTTAATTGGGTGTCTGTTCAGTTATTGGATGCTCATAATGCTTCAATACATGTAAACAGAGTCTTGTATGTGTAAGAGATGCCTTTGCTTTGTTAGGATAGAGTCAAATATTTGTTTGTTTTCTTGATATGCTACTGTACAGAACCAAAGTGCATTTATGACAATGTATATATACAAAGTTTTTTTATGAATAAAATATATTTTTGAAATAAGAAACAAAGCCAGTCTTGGCTGCAAAATTGAAAATCACCATTTCCCCTATATATTCACTCCTTAAACACCTTTGTGAATTCCACCCAGGCCGTGTTCCCAGCGCCATTGCTGTCAGGAAGAGATAGCTCTCAAGTCTGCAACTTTCAAGTGAGCTATGATTTATTCCAGCAGATGCAAGAAGTAGGTCTCAACTACATGAAAGACTCAACAAATAAAGTTGGCAATATATGTCTACAGTTACATAATTTCACAACTCATCAGCCATTTTGCAACTGCATCATTTAGCAGTTGAAAAACTGCATTGCTATGCGTCTGGATGTGCATGTAGGCAGATTTCCTTCTCTACAGGACATCCGTGAACAAGGTGGTTGTTTATGACAGTTATCACTAGTTAGGTTAACATGGTTTTTTATTTCCAGATTTTACTTAAGACCATAAGGAATTGGAACAGGAGTCGGCCATTTAACACTTTGAACCTGCTCCGCTTTTCGATAATGGAAAAGAAATATAGGTGGGTTCAGGCAGATTCAATTCATCTAGTTTCCCAAGAGTGCACTGTCCAATATGAGTGAAAGGACTGTGCAGAGGTGAAGTGAAAGGAATTTACTCCCAGATCACTTTTCCCCCAGAAAATCTATTTTCCTTCCAATGTTGTTCCAAGGACAGGATTTGTATTTTCATGTAAAGGAAAAAAAAACAATTTTGTTTAGCAAATTGCAAAGACGCCTCTTCAAGGATTATTTTGAGATGGTAAAAATAATTTTCCTTCACTTTCAATTGTTCGTAATCACCATTCCTCAGTTGTGCAAATAGCATTCTTTCCAAGCTCTCATGAAAGCTCTCATGAATGTCCACGTCCATAGATTCCTCAAAGTTGCTACCCAAGTTGATAGGGTTGTTAAGAAGGCATATGGTGTGTTGGCTTTCATTGGCAGGGGAATTGAGTTTAAGAGCTGCGAGGTTATGCTGCAGCTCTATAAAATCCTGGTTGGACCACACTGGGAATATTGTGTTCAGTTCTGGTCGCCTCATTTTAGGAAGGATGTGGAAGCTTCAGAGAGGGTGTAGAGGAGATTTACCAGGATGCTGACTGGAATGGAGGGCAGGTCTTATGAGGAAAGTTTGAGGAAACTAGGGCTTTTCTCATTGGAGTGAAGAAGGATGAGAGGTGACTTGATAGAGGTGTACAAGATGATGAGAGGCATAGATAGAGTGGATAGCCAGAGACTTTTTCCCACGGTGGAAATAACTATTACAATGGGGCATAATTTCAAGGTGATTGGAGAAAGATATATGGGAGATGTCAGAGGTAGGTTCTTTACACAGAGAGTGGTGGGTGCATGGAATGCGCTGCCGATGGTGATAGTGGAGTCAGATACATTAGGGACACTTAAGTGACTCTTGGATAGGCACATGGATGATAGTAAAATGTAGGGTATGCAGCGTAGTTTGATCTTAGAGTAGGATAATAGGTCAGCACAACATCGTGGGCCTGTACTGTGCTGTACTGTTCTATGTTCTATGTAATGTAACATCTTAAAAAGAGAAAGAGAAACAAAACCAGTAACTATAGGTCAGTTAGCTTAATGTCTGTTATTAGGAAAATGTTAGGATTTATTACAAAGGATGAAATAGCAGAGCATTTATAAATATGTATGATCAGTCAGAGTCAGCATGTCTTCATGAAGTGGAAATCATCCCTGATAAATTTACTGGAATTCTATGAGGAAGTAACAAGTAGGATAGATAAGGAGCAGATAATGGATCCAATATATTTGGATTTTCAGAAGGCTTTAGATAAAGTTCCACACAGTGGACTACTTAATAATTAAGAACTCTTGATGTTGGAGGAAACATATTAGCACGGATAGAAGATTGGCTAACTAGTAAAAGACAGATGTGGGATAAAGAGGGCATTTTCAGGATACTGTAACCTGTAACGTGCCACAGGAATCAGTGTTGGGGACACAATTAATTACAACATATATTATTGAACCAGATGGGGTAAGTGAATGCACTACAGCCAAGTTTGCAGATCATGTAAACATAAGTGTGTAGGCAAGTATTGACGATGAGACAGATTCTGCAGAATGATATAGACAGGTTAACAAGAGGGCAACAACTTGGCAGATGGAATATAATGTGGGAAAATGTGAGGTTATATACTTTGGCAAGAAGAATACAGGAGCTGAATATTATTTAAATGGAGAAAGACTGCATAACGCTACCAAACAGAAGGATTTGGGAGTTCTTGCCCATGAATCACAAAAACGCTAGCATCCAAGTGCAGTGGATAATAGGGAAAACAAATGGAATGTTGGCCTTTATTTCAAAGAGAATGGAATATTAAAATAGAAATGTTTTCCTAAATTTATACCACACTAGTCAGACCACAGCTGGAATTTTGTGGACTGTTTTGGGCCCTTTATCTAAGCAAAGGTACACCGGCATTAGAGTTACTCCAAAGAACGTTCACAAAGCTGATGGCAGGTTTTGGAGGGTCTGTCTTATGAGGAGAGATTGAGTAGTTTGGGTCTGTACTCATTGGAATTTCTGTTAGAACTATGAGAGGCAACGTTATTGAAACATACAAGATTGTTAGGTGATTTGACAGGGTCAGTGTGGAAAGGTTGTTTCTCCATAGTGGGGAGTCCAGGACCAGAGGGCATAATCTCAGAATAAGGGATCATATAGGTTAAGACACAGAAGCGGAATTTCTTCTCTCAAAGGGTAGTGAATCTGTGGAATCCTTTACTGCAGAGGGGGCTGTTAAGCATATTGAAGGATGAAATAAATAATTTCTTTTTAAATAGTAAGGGAATCAAGGGTGGAAAGTGGAATCAAGGATTATCAGATCAGCCATGATCTCATTAAATGATGGAGCTGACTCGATGGGCTGACTGGCCCATCTGCTGCTCCATCTTACTGTCTTATTTGAACTTACAGAAGCAGCCTAGTTTCTATCTAATGTTCTTTAACACCTCAAGTTCTTTGATCATAGGCACTGAGACTCATTATTCAAGTTCACCCTCTTCTGTAGTGCATACTCAAAAAAGCTGACAGTGACCTTGTCTGGGCGTCAGTAAACCTTGCAATGTTACGGTTCTTAAAAGGATATGCCAATTCCTGAAAGTGGAGCTTGTCGTGGAGATAGAACAGTGAAGTAATAGGTCACAGTTGGCAAAGCAGAGATGCACAGACAGCTTTTGTTCTTTTGAGTTAGTAAGATGTGGAGATCATGCTACAAGAAGTACAGTAAAGCTGGGTGTCTGAAGACTGTGCTGTAAAATTGAAGGTGCAAGTTGCATAGATATAATGTTGTCCCTTTCATTATTGTTTTGCAAAATAAATTTGGAATTCAGTCTTTCCCATGACATTCTGAGCTTTGAGTTCTCTTGTTCTGTTGTGATTTTTCTTTTGCCCCTGTTGTCAGTGTCTCCCAGTTCTCATGGCTCACTTTCACATTGCTCTACTGCTCTTTCAGGCATTATTTTAATCAATTCCCACTACACCTTCCTTCTTCCATTATTGGCTCCTTTTTTATCTTTTTGTTTGTTTTTTAAAAACTTTTAAAAAATTATTTTTAAAACTTTTTATACTTACATGGTTGGAATCAGTTGGGATTGGAAGAGAGGTCAGCGCACGTACTGGAGGCTGTTGTGGGGAGGGGAGTCCCCAGGGTGAACTGGAGGCGAGTCCTCGGATTGGAGACTGTCACGAGGAGGGAAGGCCTCAAATTTCAAAGCCCAGTGTGGTTTGGAGGTTAGGTACCAGCACGGACTGGGGCGTAAGGACTGTAAACTGTGTACTTTATTTTTTCCACTTTATTCTTATGCTAGATATTTTATTTTTTTTCTATATTTTATACCAAATACTTAAGTATCTGTACCTAATTATCTTGTATCTAAGATGATGCCATAAGTGGCAACTTGTAAACTTTTCACTGTACTCATTCAAGTACATCACAATAAAACTAATTCAATTCTTTTACTCTCCAATTTCAACAATCCTTCTATAGCTTTCTGCTGTGGCATTACTGTAGTACTTTTTAAAGAACATGCAGAAGTAAATGAACAGTAGGCCATTTTCAGATCATGACAGTTGTGGAGTCCATATCCACCTTATGAAAGTGTTTGAGCCTGCACTCTCAATGTATGCCCCTCTCATTGTTGTTTAAGGCTCTTGTACCATGCACAATGGTGCGTGGTTGGACACAACACTAAGTACCAATAAGCCTGCTGAATTCAGTTACCTGCTCATGTGAAACATGCCTAGTACCAAAAACGGATTTGTTAGAATGTAAGGCAGGATTTTTAAAAGGTTTTCATAACTCTGAACAAACCCAACCCAATGTTTCAATGGGTATCACTAACAAAAATGACACAGGTTTTCTGAAACAAAAACAGAAATTGCTGGAGAAACTTAGCAGGGGTCTGGCAGCATTATGGAGAGAAAACAGCTAATGTTTTCTTAACCTTTTTACAATAGAGTTAACATCCAGTACCCTTCACTGCTGCAGGTTTTCTGCTGGTTTGGATTGAAATAAATCTCTCATTTTTTTTCCTGCAATAAATGAAATTTTAGCAATATGCTCCCCTGTGCATTTGTGGCTAGTGCAAAATAAAATGAGAAGTTGAAATAATAAAGAAAAAAATCTCCAAATCACGAGGCTTTATTCAATAATGGACAATTTTATTAAAGGTTACAACTGTACATGCCATTTGATTAAAAAGATCCATACAAGTATAATGAGCTGCTACTGATACATTCTTCCCTTTTGATCTGAGGTTTAGATTGACAGATTCACTATTTTTATACTCAAAATCTATTTTTGGATGAAAAACATACTCCGAGCCCTTCTGGCCATTTCAATGCTTTCAAAGGTTGGCACTCCCTTTGGCATCTCAAGGAGGGTTTGCTCCGTATCAATTATATTCTCTGCCTCATCTGGAAGAAAAAATGATATCAATAACCTGTCAATTACTGCTCAAATGTATACTACAGAACAATTATAAATAAGACCGCACCAATAATTCAGAAACTTGCGCTACAAAAGAATGTTACAATGCAATACCTTTTTTAAAATTAGTTTTGAAGGATTCTTTGCCTGCTACGCAATATAGTCTCATATGAGGATCAAGATAATTTTTGAGAGCCCAGGAACAATACAACAATTACATTCTTTTCTATGCATTTATTCAATTTATGCAATTTATTCGTGAGTGGCAAAAGTGATATGAGCGAAATCTTTTCCATAGAGCAAGTGGATAGTGCCTGGAATGCACAGTTTGAAACTTGCTAGAGGCAGGGTCCATTGAGGGATTCAATTTAAAAGGGAATTAAACCGTTAATTGCAAAGGAGCAATGTACAGGGTTGCAGGGAGAAAATAGGAGAATGGCTCTAAGTGATTCGTTCATTCAGTAAACAAGTGCAGAAGTGCTGGACTGAATGGCTTCCTTCTGCGCTGTACTTAATTCTATTATCTGTACCTGCCTGCAAGACAAACTGTGAAAAACTGACGTGCAATACCATGAGTTAATTGCAGATCTTGAGACTGTTAATTGCAATTAATTATGTTGAAAGTGGAGCAAGTGAATCTGAATAACTGAAATTAGATTTTTAGTGGAGCAGGAAAAGTCGATATGCACTGAGCAACATAGAATCATAGAATCCCTACAGTGTGGAAGCAGGCCATTCGGCCCATCGAGTCCACACTGATCCTCCAAAGAGCACCGCACCCAGAACCATTCCCCACCCTATCCCTGTAACCCTGCATTTCTCATTGCTAATTCACCTAGCCTGAACATCACTGGACATTACGGGCAATCTAGCATGGCCAATCCACCTAAACTGCACATCTTTAGACTGTGGGAAGAAACCGGAGCACCCAGAGGAAACCCACACAGACACGGGGAGAACGTGCAAACTCCCCACAGACAGTCTCCCAAGGCTGGAATCAAACCCAGGTCCCTGGTACTGTGAGGCAGCAGTGCTAACCACTGAGCCGCTGTGCTGCTACAAAATACAACAAAATATCATTCATGCCTTGTATAAAACCAAAGCTGGGCTCAGAATTAAGACATTAATTAACATTTCTCCCTAACATTCTAAGCCAGTAAAGGAAAATTGGTACAAAATCAGGTCATTCAGTCCCTAAAGCCTGTTCCTGCTGTTCAATTTTAGACAGAACAGGTGGCTGAAAGCTAATGCTACTTATCTAACAGACAAATGCTCTGAGAACATCAGCTCAAATTTCACTGTGGCATTTCGTGGAACTTCAGTTCAATTAATAAATCTGGAGTTGAAAGTTAGTATTGATGATCACAAAACTATGAGATGAGAATTTTGGATTTCCACCACTGTGTGTGAAGACCTGACATCAGCCTAGAACTAAGCACTAATTTCAAGGTTACACTCTCTTGTTCTGAGTTTCCCTACCAGAGTAACTGGTTTCTCTTCATCAATATTTGCTTCAGAGTACCAACAGTCTATGTGCATATACATTGTCTTAAACTGGGTTCAGTGGTGCAAAAAGCTACATCATTTGATATAGTCACAGAAATGTAAATACAAACTGCATCACCCAACTCTTCAATTACCATCTCTCCCCCAGAGCTTCGCTCACCACCTCTTGCAGCATTTCCATCACTCTCTTGTCATGAGGTTACGTGAGGGCACTCAGTTGCCGATTAGTGTTACAATGTCTTCTGGTTTCTGAAGTGCACATTTTCTATTGGCGTGGAATCAGAAAAGATGGTTGGTGGAGCATTGCTGCGTGTGTGTGAGGTGCTGGACAAGGCCAACGGTACTGTCCTTATCCCTAAAAGAATGTAATTAAACAGAATGTGTGTTTATGGGGCACGTAATTAGACAGTGGGCAAAAGAATCAAAGGAGATATGAGGTAAAACGTTTTGATGCAGTCAGTGATTAGCACCTGAAATGCTCTGCATGAAAGGGAAAATTCAATCATTGGTTTCAAAAGGGAACTGGATTAATACTTACAGAGAAAGATTTGTAAAATTGCAGGAAAGGATGTTGGAACTGGACTGGCTGAGTTCCTGTATGGACAGCCAGCATGGAAAAGACAGGCCAAATGGCCATCTTCAGTGCCATGATCCTGGTATGTTTCTATGTTTTCCCAAGCTGCACTTGAATTGGACATATATTACGAATGTAAGTTTAATCTAAATTTTTTTTGAACAGTAAAGTCACAGATTTATAGTTAATTTACTTACCTTTCATCCTTATCATTAATGTTCCATATGCCAGATCACATTGATAGGCAAAAATGAAGCTCAGTGGAACAATGGGAACCAGAATGCCTGGTCTCTTCTTCTTCAAAGCTCTGCACAGAAAATAGCCAAGGTCAAAATGTAAATGTTGATGTTTAAGTAAAGAAACATTTATTTTTTGGTAAACTTTATAAACATTAATTCTCCTTTCTCAAAAAAGCTAAAGGACAAAATATTCTGGGCTCTTGTTCAGCTGGACTGCCTGGCAATGTCCTAAAATGGCAAACAGAAGCTCATTTTAAGTGGGTTATACCCCCAACTCAGGTGTGCTGCAATAGTTTGGGGGATGACTGAGGTCGTCAGACATCCGCAGTGATGATGGAATTAGGACATCAACTTGTTTCAGTCTTTCGCTGAGCAGGAGCCCTTGAAAACTAACTAAGCCCTTCTGGTCCATGCCTATGTTTTCTGCCACGTGAGCGTCCTTGCACCACTCATTCAACCACAGCAATGTATTCGTCTTTTCCTTTCTCCCTAGCCCGCCTGTCTACCAACCCCTTAAGTATATCAAAACTATTTGCCTCAACTGTTCTTTGCAGTGATTATTCTAATTTAATTTTGCTCACCCACTGTTTCCTAAGATATTTTCACCATTAAAACTGCAGCAACTTGGTTCTAAATCCTTTTGAAAGGACTGACTTCCTGCGGTAAAAAGAATGGGGAACGCACAAATAAACCTGTTCACCACCCTATAATCAGGAGGAAGATCCAGTGTGATCACTAGGAATCAGATCTGTCATTTATTGATCATTTTAACACTTGCAGAAGTATGTTACTATTTCCCTGTCAATTACTGTACTGTCAGTTCCTTTACTGTTGCTTGTCAAAATTCAGGAATTCTCTTCCATTGTTTGTGTACTTACTGTGGCAGTTCAAGAAGGTGCAAAAAAACTGACAGATTAACATGATCATCAAGATATGGAGTACAGCTCTAGTGGCAGTAAGGCACGTATTAGATACCACCCTTCATACAGGTAATTGGACTACAGTGTGCAGACGGCCTCACAACTGATCAGTGGAGACATGGACCTGAGGTCCAGGAGAATAGTGACAGGTGGAGACAACCTACCCAAAGGAGAGGAATGCATGGCAGACAATCTGCCTTTTTCTTCACTGCAGCATACTAGTGCCAAATGAGAAGCAATACAGGGCTCCTAAGAAAGGAGGTTAGCAAAAAGTCTACCTCAATCCCATGGACCCACTGTAGCACAAGATGAGCCAACAGTTGCTGCAATGCTTGGAGAAATCTGAATTGACAAAAGTGAAATGTGAAAAGCCACGCTGGAAAGAATGAGTTCATTTCTGACTGCTTTGGGAGAATGTGAACTTATTTGTCACTCACAGGAGTTGAATTATTCCAGAGATTCTTTTGTTTCGTTCGTCATAGTTTTAATGGAACAGCCAATGTCACCCTGCAAGAATTGGCCTAAACAAAGTTTTCACTGGAGGTGCAGGACCCATCTGCCAATGTTCTAATGGTCAAGACATTTGGAATCCACAGGGAGCACCATATGTATTTTGACTGATCTAATTTAGTGATTATGCTCAGAATGTTGAAGTTGGGGTAAAATAGACAATTGTGTTCTCATGTTGGAGCATGATTAAAATGTCGAACAACCAATCCGTCTCTTATTTAAAGTTATGAGAGGAAATTCAGGAAGCTTTGTCAAATTCCTCCATATTTATAACCTGGATAAAATGAACACAGCACTGAAGGAGGCCACTTGGCCAGTCACTTCCATGCCAGTTCTCTACAGGAGCAATTAATACAACACTGCTGCCTTTCATCCACCACCTTTCAAATACTTTATATTATCATCCAATTATATTTTGAAGACCTTAATTGAATTTGTCTCCTCTGCACTCTGAGGCAGAGCACCCAGATCCTCATTGCTGGCAACATTAAGGTGATTTTCCTCATGTTGCTTTTCTTTCTTTGTGCTCACCAGCTGTGGGTGTCACTGGCTGGGCCAGCATTTACTGCCCATTATTAGTTGCCCTTGAGGAGTTAGTGGGGAGCTGCCTCCTTTAACTGCTCCAGTCCTTGGGATTTAGGCAGATCCACCGTGCAGGGGAAGAGTTCCAGGATTTTGACCCAGTGATAGCGAAGTAAGAAGATGTAGTTCCAAGTCAGGATGGTGTGTAGTTTGGAGGGGAATGTACAGCTGGAGGTGTCCCCATGCCTATTCTTCCTCGTCCTTCTAGGTGGCAACAATTTTTGCCAATAACCTTAAATTAGTGTCCTCTCTTCGCCATTCGATAGATTTTACTTTGTGATTTTGAAAATCTCAATCCAATTTCTTCTTAATCTTGTCCAAAGAAAACAGGCCCAGCTTTTCCAAACTATGCATGTAGCTGAAGCACCCAATTACGAGAACCATTCTCCTGAATCTTTTCTGAACCCTCACCATAGCCTTCACATTCTTCCTAAAGTATGGTACCCAGAGCTGGATGTTAAATTTTAGCCAAAACAACATTTTGTAAAGGGTTACCACAAATTTCTTGCTCTTGTATTTAGACAGGCCAAGATCTCATATGCTTTAATTTACTACTTTCTCAACCTCCGCCTTGTTGCCTTCCCTGATTTGGGCACACCAGATCCTCTGCTCTTGCACCCAATTTTGAATTCTACCTTTTATTTTATATTGCCTCCTCATTCTTCCCACCAAACTGAATTAATTGAGCTGACCTCCATCTCACTGTAACCTTAACACTCTAAGCCTTCTGCATTTCTGTAATTTTGGTCACCTGGACATTATGTATTTTCCTCACTCCACCATTGGTGCACATGTGTTGAGTTTCAAACTGAACTTGTGGAATTCCTTCCCTGGACTTCACCACTATTCTAACAATCTGTCTTGGTTTAAGACACTTGTGATGATTAATGTCTTGGACCAACCTTTTGCCCATCTGTCCTAATATAACCTTCTGTGGTTTGGTATCAAAGTTTAACACTAAAATGTTCCAAAGTATCTACGTTAAAGTTGCTGTAGAAATGTAATTTACAGTGGTTGTGATCAGAGATAACTGTCAGACAGACGATCAATCATTTATGCTGTGATGCTCTTTACAGTGTTATAATGACTTAGGAATGATTTGAAAGACAATCATCCTAGTTATTCAGTTTTTGATTCCCTGTTAAATCTGGTAATCGGGTGAGTTATGTTAACCAGCAATCTCTAATGTTCTTTGCTTGCTTTCATTTTGTACCATTAAGTATCTCAACAGGAGGACACCTACTACTTTCTACAGGGGACATCTCGGGAGTGACTGTCAGTGCTTTCTCAATAAATATGTTTGTTTATTCTGAAATAATGCTGAATATTGGTACTTTACAAGCTTATATCTGCACCCACATTGATTGCAGCAATAGCAATGTAGCACATCTCATTGATCTTTGAATCAGCTATGTCTAAAGACAATTTTACCAGGTGATCATTTTGTCTGATAAAACATTGCTGTAATCACAAACTCCATGAATGACCATAGAACAAAAACAAAATGCTCACCCTATTGTTAAACCAATTGTTGACAGTCCCAAAAAGGTTCCGAAGTACTTTATAAATTCACGGGACCATGCGATCTGCATTGCGACTTGTCTCTGTCTCATTTCATTTTGCATCAGCATTTGCCTTTCCAGCTGGAAAAGATGACACAAGCATTTTGGTATGCTTATCAGAAAACAAATTGCAAACTGAAAAAATATTTAACTTTCCCCATAAAAGTAATCAGACTTGATTAACTCAATATATTTCCACCAGTGATCCGTCATCATGATATGATTAATGTTGTGCTTTGAACTATATTATTCACTTGCTATCACAATTACATCACAATTACTGCACTATAGAAGGTAGGAGGGAAGCGTAAATGCTAGCATGGAGCAGTTGGGTAGATTGGCCTGCATTGTAATTTTACATAAAAATTTACAGGTCCAACAAACATCCACACACTCCTGAGGATCTCATGTCAAACCAGGAAAACATCACTGACACTATCAAAACATGTTATTGCTGAATAAAACAGAAGTTATTGATGAGCAAAGTGGAAGGAAATAGAACAGTCAAAACTTTATAACAATCTTCCTCAGATAACCCTGAAGAATTCAAACCTGAAGAATGAGAACCCATACTTGGTGCTGGAAAGAATGTTGGCAGTCATGACCAGTTATTTTTTTTAAAAGGGTATACAGTTTTTTATAATTATAATTTATAATGGTCAGACTTATACGGCTAGTTTAATGGGAAAATACACAAAGTTTCCCAAACAAATACTGCGGCCGAGGGTGATATGCCATTTTTGTGAAACTAATTTTAGATTGCGAATTGTTCATCATTACCTGAATAGTTGAGATGATAGCAAATAATTTGCATTAAATATCCCGGTAAAAAGTTTTATTTTAAACCATGTTATTACTGCTTATTTTTAAATTAATTTATTAGATTACATTTTATTATTGGGGTAAATTCTACCCTGTTCTAATTTCAAGTTTAAATGAAAGATGGGGAAAAAAATTACATGTTGGGACTATCTGAATAGACATGGTGGACCAAACATTTATATCATTGTGTAATCTTTTGAAATTCTGCTGTAGTGACAGTTATTGATACTTAATTTTGTAAATCACCAGTTAAGGAAGAAAACAATGCTGGATATGCAATGCTGAAAATTATAGTTGGTCTCACCTTAATTTTCAAAGGAGTGGCTCTATTTCATTCTCTTTCATGGAATAATTTATAGTATAATTTCTTCATCTCCATAGTTAAATTGTAATGGACCAAAGTGTTATTAATTAGATGTAATTTTCTTCATTTTATTAGCACAGCACTTGTATAAGATACAAAGTAACTATTTATATAGGTTATTAAGCATCCTTTTGTGATGACTAATTTTAAAAGATATCAAAAGCAAGCTTGGAGTACAAGATGACTCTTCATCAGAGCAGGTCTGATGAAGTACAGGTCATCTAGACTGGAAATGTTAGCTTGCTCTCTCTCCACAGATGCTGCCTGATCTGCTGTGATTTCTAGCATTTTTTGTTTTCAGTACAGATTCCAGCATCTGCAGCAATTTGCTCTTGGAGTAAAAGATTTTTGAGACACAAAGCAAATCAATGTACCTCTCTGTAATTTCAATTGTGTACAAAAGCAGAAATTGTGGATGGAATAGCAGCATAAATCTGCCAGAAGTTAGCATGAGAAGTCCACTCCAAGTCAAACCACATAATGGAAGCATGCATGCACATAGCAAATTCTTTTTGAATCTGTCCATAAGATTGTGGTCATTCTTTCTAGAGTCTTGGCCTCCTGCAATCCTTAGGGTACAGTGCTGTTAGGGAAGCAATTCCAGGATTTTGTCCCAGCGACACCTAAGGATTTGCAATATAGATCCAAATCAGGATTTTTTTTCTTATTCATTTACAGGATTTGGGCATCACTGGCAAGGCAAGCATTTATTGCCTCCAGCACCACCCCCATCCCCATTGCCATTGCCCAGAAGGCACTTATGAGTCACCCACATTGTCGAAGGTGTGGAGTTACATATAGGTCAGACCAAGTAAGGGTGGCAGATTTCCTTCTATTTGTGAACCAGGTGGGCTTTTTTTCAAATCTTGACAATAGTTTCATGGTCATTATCAGGCTGTCAATTCCAGATTGCTATTGAATTTAAATCCCACCATTTGCCAAGGTATGGTTTTGAACCTGTACCTCCATAACATTACTTGGACTGACAAGTGGCAAGTAACATTTGCTCCATAGCCTCCAATAAGAGGCAATCTAACCACTGCCCCTTAGCATTCAATGGTATTACCACTAAATTCCCCACTACCAATATCTTGAGGAGTACTGCTGGCCAAAAACTGAACTGCACTAGCCATATAAATACAACGGCTACAAGAGCAGGTCAGAGACTAGGAGTACTGCAATCAGTAACTCACCTCCTGACTTCCAAAGCCTGTCCAAGGCAAAAGTCAGGAGTGTGCTGGAACACACTCCATTTTCTGAGTGAGTTCAAGTCCAATAACACACAAGAAGCTTGACACCATCCAGGACAATGCAGCCCATTTGGAATCACATTCACAAACATCCACTCCCTCCACCACTGATACTCAGTTGCAGCAATGTGTACCATCTACAAGACGCACTGCAGACATTCACCAAAGATTCTTAAACAGCACCTTCCATACACACGACGACTTCCAACCAGGAGGAAAAGTTCCTTAGATACATGGGAACATCATCAGCTGTAAGTTCCCCTCCAAGTTACTACCAACCTAACTTGCTGTTACTTAAGCATCAGTGTCCAAATTCTGGAATTCCCTCCCTAATGGCATTATGGATATATGTACAGCAAATTAATTGCAACACTTCAAGAAGGCAGCTCACCACCAGCTTCTCAACGGCAACTAGGGATGGGCAAAAAATGCTAGCCAGCCAGTGACGCCCACATCCCACGAGTGAATTAAAGAAAAAACTCATATTGGATGCTGCCAGGATACAGGAACTGATTCCCAAGTACAATCCACTTAGGCAGATCACAGCCATGACTTGTTTCCAGTATAACTATGGTAATCCATGTATGTTACTGTAAATCAGCAATGTAGGAAACAAAGTTCCAGAAACATCAAATGGCATTTATACTAAAACTTCCAATCATACAGCGCAGTGATCTTTACTAATTGATTCTTTTAGACACTATCTAAAAGATAAGGTTGTAAATTACTTGGGTAGTCTTGTGTGACTCGCTGTTCTTGCTACAATATGCAATTAACAATTAAGATAACACAGTCAAAATGCCACCTTTGAAAAATTAATATTCAGAAAAGGAAAAATATAGAATCAGGGACAAATTCAGGTGATAACCTTTAAAGCACATTTGAGTGATTAATGATGGAAGAGTACTATATTCAGAAGAGAAAGGTCATAGAAGACTCTAGCATAGTATAGATGCTATTACTTTGTTTATGAGTTTGGGATCACAGAATCTCTACAGTGTGGAAACAGGCCCTTTGGCCCAACAAGTCAACACCGACCCTCAGAGCATCCCATTTTCAGTTGGCTTTCAGTTTTTCTTCTACGACGTACCACTTCAAAGTACAATCAAAAGGAAACAAAATACCATAGTGGGTATGGCCCCATGACTGCTGCTAGCCAAGACTCTCACCCATAAATCTATAGCATTACAAGCCAAATGTTACAAATACTTATATGGTGTCTGTAATGATTATGGCAAAGCCGCTAGCAGGGGATTTACTAGTGTTCTGTGTTGATTGCTGCATGGCTTTAGCTAGTTAAACTCCAGCAATGCTCATGCACATAACTGGGTATTTTTCACCTGTGCCTTTGTCAATATGCACCTAAGGAAACTGGACTTGGGTTATATGGGCACAATCAGGCAGACAAAGAGGGCTCAAATTTTGCGAAGTTGGGATGTATTTAGAGTTCTTTCAGTTTTCAGGAATGCTGTCAAAAGATGTGAGCTGGTTTGGGTTGTAACTATTAACCTATTGGTACAACTATTGCAAGCATTTTGTTTGATGGTATGCTTTACATTTTGTAAATAGAACATGGTCGAAAACACCATGGGCAATGTACAAATGGATGTAAATGTTAACAGTTTTACTAATTTCCTATCATGTCTTTTGTCAAAGGGACAACTGTGAATAGTACAGGCTGATCTTCCACAGCAAATATTAGAATACCATAGCAACAAATATCTCCAACAGCAGTTTAAAATTGTTATTCCTATCTGTGAACATTTAACAAGCTAGGATCTCATAAGAAAATATTAAAGTTTCAAGCATTTTATTTAGAAACTAAGTGGCCTCACTTAACTGCTGCTCTTTACCAGCCACATCTAAAGACTGAAAGGCTTTGCACATATATACTGAAGACACTTAGCTCCACCTCTCCACCACCAATCCGAACTCCTCCATTTCCTCTGCCTTGTCTGATTGCATGTCTAGTATCCAGTTTTAGATGTGATAGACATTTTTTTGGAAGATCAAAATCCTCATCTTTGATTCCTGATCATAACCTCCATAACATTACCACTGAATCTATCACTCTCCTCCCCTCACACCCCTGCATTAGGTGCTTCAGCTTGAACCATGTCCTCAGTGCTACATTCAAATCCAAATCAGGCTTCATACCAAAATTTCCTACCCATCACAAAGATCATTTCATTCCAGTTAGCCTCTCTGCTTGTAAGGCTCTCATCCATTTCCTCATTACCTGCAGCCAAACTATTCCAATGCCTTTGTGGTTCACCTCCAAACCTCCATCTTTTGCGAATGCCTACTGACACAAATCTCTGCCGCTCACATTGCTAAACATCACTAAGTGCTCCACACACTGCCCTAGCTGACACAAATTAGCTCCTAGTGCCTCCCATTTAAATGGTTGATCCTGATTTTTAAGAACATAAAAGACCTGTCACTTCCATTTCCCTGCAATCACTTTTAACCTACAACCTGTCTCGCCAACTAAACTCTCCTTTCTTTTCACCCCCTTCAACAACAACAACTTACATTCAAACAATATCCTTAGCACCACCAGATTAAACATGATGCTCAAGAATTGCTTTATTAACAAAGTTTGACATCAATTTGCATAAGGGAAATGCTCGGACAGATGACAC